TCAGTTATATCTTAAATTCACTTTAACACGTTCAGCAGCGGATGACCAATTCAACCCACAAACTAGAATCCTTCAGTACGAAGCGAGATTGGAAAGGCTAGGAGGCTGATGTGGCATGCTAGGAGTGCTCACGTGTTTGAATAGGAATAACAATTAGGATATTAACAAGTTATTAGATATATTTGAACAAAATAGAACACGCAACAATGGATATAAATTAGTTTAGATTTAGGAAAGACCTGGATAAATACTGGTTTGTAAGCGTGGTTGTAGATTCGTGGAACACATTACCGGGCAACATAAGAGATGTGTGATCAGTTTGTGTCAAAGGTCGTAGGTCACCCATGTGCGAACGAGTGTGAGAGGATATAAATTAATAGCCGTCATGTATGGGCTAATGTCGGTTTAGTCACATGTTCTTATATTCTCAAAATATCACACAACAAAGCACCTCCACCACCCAGCGTAACACAAAGACCAATAAGCCAACGCTCGCTGTAAACACCCACACCCTCTCCTGACACCCCCCCCCCCAACACCCATTCCCACGTCATAATCCTCCCACACACCTTTGGCTCAAACCCTTTACTGTATCGGAGGTTTACAGCGGCACCGCCCACCTCTGATGCCACGTCCAGTGCCAGAGTGATGCCCAGTGCCAGAGTGATGCCCAGTGCCAGGGTGATGCCCAAGCGCCTCCTGAACGTGGTGTGTGCCACGCCAAGCTGTCCCAGCAGGACGCCAGTGTTTAACAATACTCAGGATACAACGGACGAGCAAGGGTTCAGCGGACGACCAATAGAGTGAAAAAAAACGAATCTTGAATTTCTAATAACTTCAAAATTGCACATTTATTAAAGGCATTGTTCCTTCGTAAACCCCCACAGTATTTACACTTCCTTCCCACATTGCTGCTAGCTCTCCCCCACAGTACACATCCCCACACTCCCCCCCCCCCCCGCCCCCAAGCCAAGAGAGCGCGGAGAAAGGCGGGTAAACACAGAAGCCTCCACTCTCGCTGGCCCACTTCTCGGGCTTAAAAATATGTACTTATTTACCAGAGTTTACAAGAGAATGGCGGTCAGGGCGACGACACGGACGGGAGGAGGAGGGCGACGACACGGGCAGCAGGAGGAGGGCGACGACGATCTAGTGGTTCAGCCCAATCTAGTCACAAACGTGTCGGGTTCCTGTTTGGTGACAGTCTCTCTCTGGCACATTTCCTAACACCTGCTGCACCTCTTCACCCTAGCAGTAACTAGGTACTCTGGAGTTGGCCAACTGTTTTAGGTTGCATCCTGGGATTGGTCAGTGGCTGACCTACGTGAGACTTTGATAACCCCCAACAGCCTTCCTGTCCCAGACAATGGGATAGGGGATACTCGAAAGTTTCCATCTTGCGTTGTATCTATAACAAAAAAAAAAAATAAAAACGCAGCTGATCCCGTCGCTTCACTGTTTAAGGGTCGTCAAGATCTATCTTTTAAAGAATTCTTCCCTTCTCTCAGGGCAAGTTTATTGTGCGGCGTCACTAGTGCCCCAAGCTACCGCGAGAGCGAGCACGCAACAGCGAGCTATCAAGCAAGCACGCAACAGCGAGCACGCAACAGCGAGCACGCAAGCAAGCAAGCATGACGCCTTGTCTCATTGTTTATTAGCAAACTTTCAATCTCTCACACCTTTAATCTAATTTTATCTTTCGTTATCCAAGGCCGTACATATGACACCCCTGGCTCTCTCAACACCGGCTTTCTTGGAATTCATGCCCGATAACCTGGTAAACACCTGCCTCACGACATAACCCTGCCACCATCGTCTGGTTAGACATGTGGCGCCTCCATATCTAGGCATCCACACACCTGACGTGTCGCTTTCCGAAGATTAGGCTGCTGGCACTGTTGCCGAACACTATATAAATATATGGCCCTATTATGACACTTTCCCGAACACCAGGCATGCAACACCACACCCTGCACCGCCCCACCGTACACCACCACCCCCTGTATGCAGCTTTCTTGAGACGGCTCTCAAATACTATATTTAAATTATTCACACTTGTTTTATTTTCAAAGTTTCAGTGACAGGCGCTGTGGGGGTTGACGAAAGACTTTTGCATACTGCTCTTTTACCCTCTCCCCCCGCCTTCCCCTCACACCCTCTCCCCCACGCCCTCTCCCCCACGCCCTCTCCCACACGCCCTCTCCCCCACGCCCTCTCCCACACACCCCCTCTCCCCCACACATAGTCGTAAACCCGTCCACATATAAACCCGTTAACACCCTCCCCCTCCTCTCCGCAAACAAGGTTCAGGTCGGCAACTTCCGCATATGCGCGAACACTTAAACAAACACGCGCTCAATACCCCCTCTTAAAATCAACCAACCTACTCACCCTCAACCCAAACAAACCCACCGACCCCATAACCCAGTCACTCAACCCTCTTACGTCAATCGAGTTACGAGGACACGGGTTTAGGGCGAAATGAACACGAGGCAAAGAGTTAATTTCGATGTTTCCAGCGGCTACACAACATTCAACGCAGCCAGTCGAACGACATTGCCGGCGCCACATCGAAACGTCGTACCGCCTCGCCGCATATTGTGCTTGATAGTAAGTATAATTGCGTGGATCCTATGGACATTTTTAGCTTTAGGAGTCTGTGCTATATGGAAAGGAAAGCAAAGTCGAGAGTAGGCAACGGACAGTAGGGTGGACAAAGGCAGGAGGAAGAGATATGGTAGTCAAGAAATGAGAAGAAAATTCGGGAAATTTTGCGTTGGAAATTGTAAACAATGATAGGTTAATTGGCGTTAGATTGACTGATGAGTTGGAATCTAATTAGTAAACAAAAGATTGGTTTAGGGAAGCATCGAGAATCAGGCCGAAGATGACGACATTGGAACAAGGGAACTCACATCTAGAAGCAATATTTTAGAGGATATCTGAGCGAGTTTTGGGGAGCTGGGAACAATAAATCGTGTAAGAACAAGCAAGGCTAACTGCCCGATGACCGACGTGGGGAGGGGGTAGGAACTAGACTACTTAACAGGTTGTGTGAACCAGAATCGACCCCACCTCACCCCCTCCAATCGCTTACACTACACTAATGAAAAACGGTTTACACACGACACAACTGATGACGTTCGAACATTTCCGGAACAAGTGCTTCACTGACAAGTTCTGTTCGAACCACAACGTAGTAAATGCTTCACCCGCGTACTACAAATAGAAATAATCGCCAACAGAACCAAAACATCTGACCTAACGAATGTCTAAATATGCCAATATAAAATACTGATATTTATATTTGAGAAAATAACAGTTTTGAGTGAAAAGAATGTTAAAATTTATGAATACGTCTTTGAGGTCGACCGCTGGATGGAATGGACTTTGAGTACGGGTTGCACACTGGCGACAGAACGATATTCAGGCAAGAAGGAGGGGGGGGGGGTCAATGTTACTAAACCATCCCTCAGTTCCGCCCGTCAGTGCCACGCGCAGAGCCAGACCGGCTGTGTGTGTGTGTGTGTGTGTGTGTGTGTGTGTGTGTGTGTGTGTGTGTGTGTGTGTGTGTGTGTGTGTGTGTGTGTGTGTGTGCGCGTGCGCGCCTATGAAACGTGTGAACTTTGTTAATACAGATGGCTGAATTACAAAATCGTCTTATAAATTACATTACAAATACCATTACATTATAAATTACAATTATTATAAAATACAATCAATTCACTAATTAAGTCTCATTTAAAAGATAATTTATAGGTCAAAAGCAGCTTAAATTATATGCCCTAAGAATTTATACTAAACTTTATACTCACTTTCACCTCTAAAATGAAGTGACAATGGAAATATTTCGCTGCACAGCGTATATAACAGACCTTCAGTTAGTACGAGACATGATTCAAACATTCGCCCTCTAACAATCGACTTCAAAATATACAGAAACATCATTTGCCCTGGAATCGCTTCAAAATACCATGAAAATTAAAATCCCTCAATTAGCAACCAATTGACGATTGTGTGAATGTTGATTGCGGCCATCTTGACCTAAATTCTACACAAGCCCCACACACACCACTAAGACACCTTGGACATTATGCATCCAATAGGTAGTTTCAAACGAAATAAAACCATCCATGGGATTACAAATGCTTTCAAACGCTCTCTCCAACCATAGCTAATGTGTATCGATACCGATTTTCAATTAAAGACGTCCCCTGCTTACAATCACCAGGCGTCCCCCTGCTTACAATCACCAGGCGCCCCCCTGCTTACAATCACCAGGCGTCCCCCTGCTTACAATCACCAGGCGCCCCCCTGCTTACAATCACCAGGCGTCCCCCTGCTTACAATCACCAGGCGCCCCCCTGCTTACAATCACCAGACTGAACTTACAAGAAAATTTGTATGGTTTCCTGCGAGTTTGGAAAACAACCTCCACTAAGATAAGTTTTATACGATAATTAAATCATAGCCAAGGCAGAGCAAATGGACACACGAGGCGAGTCTGCCTGTTTACCCAGACTTGGTCCTGCTGGCATGCCTCATAGAGAACGGGAAACACACCATGTTAGTCACACTTAAGACATTGCCAGCAGGACAAATTATAGCCATATTTTTTTTGTAAATACGTGTGCAAAAATGTGCACGCGCACGAAGAAATGAACGAGAACCAACAATACAGTCTACGGTAACGGAACATGACATTTCACTAACTCCATTTTCTTTTCCGATTGACGACCGAATCACTTATATTCGAGACAGGGTATTTATATTTTATCATTTTTGTTGTATATTTTTAACAAGATTAACATTTAATAACTTACTTCATAATTAAACACACCTTTCGGTATATATGCATGCTTGAGATAGGGAACAAATAGGGATTATTAACAGCATTGTAATTGCTCAATTCTACACAACAGACATGTAGATTGTGTGGAATGATTGACACACATCATTCAGAGCTCCACGTAAATACATAATATTGTGTGTATAATTACCAGTGAGCGTCTAAAGCTTTGTAGTGAAGACATAGGCCCCGGACTCCCCCGCACTTGGCAGGGGGTCCAGGAGGAGGAGTTACTCCATTTTGGTGTCACCTGCCGGAGAAAGAAAACGAAATTAGCTTCATTGTGTTTCAAAGAAAATGGACAATAACAGCCTAAACTTTAAAAGGCAACCTAAATTAGTATTCATTGTGTTGTAAATCTATTGGTGGGGGGTTTAGTATTAAAATGAATTGTGATAATGAATGTCCATTATATTTTTGTATAAAAGGGTGTATATTGTCAATAGCCACAATGATCTATAATTTTAGCACTTATCAATAAGGTCTTCTGGACATTTGCGACGATTTGAAGAGACCTCGATTGTTACAGAACACACGAGATATATATACATCAGAGGTGTAACCCGCTTCTCGGTGTATATATACACACAGCATTTTATTCCTAAACTATGTTCAGGAATAAAGTATCCTGCCTGTCAACTTTCTATAGGGTGACAGGCGTGAAGCCCAACATTAAACCATGTTACACAACAGTAACCCAAATTAAGTTACTTGCCTCCATCCCAGGAGATAATGACACGTCCAAATTGGTTCATTCACCTCTTCCCTATTCTCTCCTCCTCCCTCTCCCCCTCTCTCTCTCTCTCTCCCCCCTCTCTCTCTCCCTCTCCCACATCCTGGGACAGACCTCACACCTACACAGAATAGACAGGATCTAAGAATAAGAACGTGCGCTTCGTTCTTATTCCTGTCGCTCTCCCATTTTGCTATATCTGAAGTTTTCCTTAACGCGTATATATTATGGCAGCGTAACACACATACGAGAATGTTTATTCATAGATGTCGCTCTGGACCTTACACTAACGCAGTTGTAAATACCAAATTGCATGTTAATATTTTAACATTAATTCTTCTGTATTTACGTTCACATACATTTATGCCCAGTCTACAATACTATACGCCTCTTCAAAATCACAAATGAACACGAGTCAACAATAATAAATTTAGTTTTAACACTACGTTACAAAATCTGCGTCAGTGAGAAACAATGAAGTCTTTGCCAGCCCGCCCACCTGCACACCTGCACGCCCTCACGCCCACCTGCCCGCCCACAGTATTCACCCATCACACGCACTAAGGCAAAGTCAGCCACATGCACGGTCGCTCACCCATAACGTACGCCATTGCTTCCTCAAAACAAATATAAATGCGTAATACACCCACAGACAGACGCCTGGTTAAAGAAACTACGACAGGGACGGGGGGGGGGGGGGGGGGCGCCCCATTACCAGGCAGCTGGGGGGGGGGGGAAGGGGCGATCACCAGTCACATAAGGGAATGGGAACCTCCTACAAGACACCAGAGAGTTCGTCCCTCCGTCACCACCTATCGCCCAAGAGGATCTGAAGCTAAACCTTTCCATCTAATTCGACTTAATTTTATGATTCGTCTATTTTAACCACAATTATTCTTAGGTTTATGTAACTTGACAAACACACAGGTTTATGTTATTGTATATAAAGGCAGAAGAGGAAGGGGAAGAAGGGAAGGGAAAGGAAGGGAGGAAGGGAAGATGAAGGATCTGGAAGCTAAGACTATGCAGGCAGAGGGATGGCAGTTATGATGCCAACGTCGGGCGAGTATATATAGTGCCAAAGGTCTCGTCAGTGCCAATAAGTGTAGAATAACCGATAGTCTCAGGAGTGACTGTGGGGAAAAGACGAGATTAGGCAGCGAGAGAAATGCAAGGAAAGAAAAAAGAAATAGAAGGCAATAGGACAAGAGAATGTAGGAGGGTCAAGTTAAGAACTACCCAGTTTCATCCACTAATGGGTGCCAGGTGGATAATGCCAACCACATCTCGTAAAAATATATATATACACGCTAAACATATTAAGATATACCACTACTCCGGGCCGCAGTTTTGGCAGGTCACATCTGGTGGTGGCTGTGGCTCCTCCAGCTGCCTCTGGCTCACCTTACCTATAATGTTCCCATTTGGAAAAGATGTTGTCTGTGCGCGCGCGGTGGATTGACGTTTCCTGCACATGTCATCCCCAGGCAGCGGATCACCACCACCACCACCTGCCACCACTGGTCATGCTCAGATGGCGGATTACTTCCACCTGTCACCTCCGTATTCCGCGGCGGAACACATGTTAAAAATACACGGGAAACATAAAAGATACAGCCCCTCGACCCTAACCCAACAGGCGTGCAAAGTGTGTCAGTGGAGCTAGGGCGCTGCTCGATGCAAAGTGTGTGATATTAAAGGATCATTTAAATTCCATTATATATATATATATATATATATATATATATATATATATATATATATATATATATATATATATATATATATATATATATATAAAATGTATGCATCAAAGTTTGCTTTTAAATAGATCCATAACAATACGGAGGCTCCAGACAATGTCGGTATATAAACTTAGTTTGGATTTCTCACACACACAAAACTGTTTAAACGTTTCGCTGAAGCACTTTAGTTTTGTCCCCATGCTTGACAAAGGTCTAAATGGGCTTGAGAAAAACTGTCGCTCTTGATTCCATCTATAGAAAGAAAAATAGATTTATGTCTATAGATTAAGGAACGAGGCAAGGCGAAAAGAGGGAAAGGAGAAAACGCGGCGGCATGGATAGAAGCATGAACCAGTTTTTACTTAAAATCCACCGTCTTGCATGTCGACAAAGTGGTGAGATTCAGGAAGGATTGGCCAAGCCTCAAGATTGGTGTACCTGGCGGCGGGTCTGGTGGCCAAGAGCGCCACACGTGCGTGCGTGTGCGTGTGTAAGGCGCAGGATAGATCATACTGTTTTCCTTGTAACAAGATACACACAAATGCTTGCACATTTTTTTTTTTACCACAGCATATCGTGAGAAAAGATGATGATGTTGATTTAGGTTACAAATTGCTATACCATTTAAAATACAAAGTGTAACAATAGACGTAGCGTCGATGGATTGTTTCAAGCGTAGGTTAGACATGTATATGAATGACGTTTGTGTGGTTATAAACAGGAGTTGCCTCGTATGGGCGAATTTGGCCCTCTGCTGTTTATTTACGTGACGTGAGCACGCCAGAAACATTCCCCACTGGCAACACAAGCTCAGAAGGAAAGGCCAAGGCCTAGCCACAGTGTTTTGGTTATCAAGGGCCATTTTCCTATCCATAAAGTCCCCAAATTGAGGGAGGGAATTATCAGGGGAAAGTGACAAACCATTAAGAGTATATAGCACATGGAAGGGATCAGAAGGATTTAGGATGGGACGGGGGGAAGGAATGGTGCCCAACCACTTGGTGGACGGTCGGGGATTGAACGCAGAACTGCATGGAGCGAGACCATCGCTCTACCGTCCAGCTCAAGTGGTTAGAAAATAGAGAGAGACAAAAAACTCTAGTGTCAGCTGGATAATACATTCACAAAGTGCACATTAATACACAAAATAGACTTTTAAACTTGTGCTACTAAAAACTTAATAAAGCCAAGTTCTATGACCTGTTGGGAGAAAGCCAGCACACACCACCACCAGGTTATTGCTTAGTTAAACAGCCAGCAATAGCGGGGCAGCTGTCTGGGTCGACTCACCTAGACACACAAGCCGTTCTTTAGTTTAAACTTTATATCGCCTTTGTAAGAGAGAGTGAGAAGCTATTGTAACTGTAGCTCTAAGGACACTGGCTACTGACTGGTTCGTTCTCATCCACTCGCTTCCCCTCTCCCTACGATATTAGCCTATTTGAACATCTTTCCTAATGACACGAGAAACTTTCTTAATGTTCCATAATTCAAGCGCAAAATTCTCAAAACAAAAAATGGGGATTTCGTTTCCCCATTTTTGGTTTTCGTTTCTAAACATCACATATGATCAATGTGATGTTTAGAGATTTAGATTTAGAGTAAAGAATAACGTCCGAGGCTCGGGCCCCAAACAGTTTCATGGTGCAGTGGTAACACACACTGCCGGCGCCTTGCGAGGGCTTTGGCCTGGGTTCGTATCCGGGCCGGGGAGGAATGACTGGGCGCAAAACCTTAACTGTAGCCTCTGTTCACCCAGGAGTGAATGGGTACCTGGTTGTTAAACGATTTGGCGGGTCCAGGGAAAATTAGGATTAAGTGTCAGAAACGCTATGCGTGCTAGTGGCTTTACAAGAATTGTAATAACTCTTTTATATATAAAAAAAATAAAATAATTATCAGAGCGTTACGTGATTATATAACACCAGGGAAGAATAGGACAAATGAATTTGAATGACACTTAAGAAAATAAGTTTGGCAAGACTGAACACCTGACAATACTACAGATCTTGACTGTATCGCAAGAAAAGATAGATGATCATAGTACAGTTTAAGTTGAAGCGTTATGTGTGTATCTTGAGGACTACCTCCCTTTCTCCTCCCACCTTCCAGGTCAGCCTTCAGATGTCACCAACGAAGCTAACTACAGCCCATACTCGAACTTTATCCTGACCCACCTTGGACAGGACTAAGGCCAAAGATTCATCGCTTGCTAAACATTTGAATTATAAGTCAAATGTTATATAATTCCCCAAACAGAACAAAGTATCCCAAAGCAGCTCATCGTGTGAGACTGTGCACCTTTGCAGCATCACGTGACAAATCATCACCTGATGATCTCGTCTCATCATCGTAAATGCAAATTGTTCTTATAAACACTGAATGACGTCGGAAACATTTGACAGTTTAATTGAAATACTAAAATATAATAACCGGACTGCTACATAATATTCTCAGTCAATATTTTCTTTTAATCACAAAAAACGGAAAAACCCAATAAATCTAATTCTCTCCCGTATTTCACTACTGAGAATATTGAAAGCCCAGGGACCTTTATAAACACTCTGACCCTCGCAGAGTATGCTGGGTACAGCAGCGGTGTGTGCTGTACCCAGCATACACCGCTGGGTACAGAATGAGTCCTTCCTCGCCACAAACAAAACCTGTGAACTGTTTAAATTATTACTCTAGTCGAATCTCCTGGGCTCTTCTCGACCTGCTAACGAGACCTTGAAAGTCGGAATACCTATCGTACCTGCCTTGGCAATAGTG